GAGGTGTTAACTTCCATGGGCGGCCTGGACATCTCTGTGTGATGGTTGCAGTTCCATCTTTGGTAAATTTTTGTATCACGTTTGCTACAGTATTCTGACTAATAAGTAAAGCTTTTCTGATCTTCTTGTAGCCTTCACCTTTCTTGTGTAAAGAAATTATTTTTCTTTCTCAGGCCTAGTGACATATCTTTTCCATGTGGTGACATTGCTGACAGCATGAAATGGGAAGGGGTTTCCTTTGTTAAGTAATGCCCTTTTATAATCAACTGTCTGCTGGACACCTGTTTAATGAATAAATAGACTCACCTGTAGTTGAATTCTTGTTAATTAGGATTTCGTTGTCTAAAATTGAGCTTGCTCCTAAGACTTTCGTTGGGGTGTATTCCTTTTTGCAACATGGTCTTGAATAAATTTGTTAGGAAAAATACATTTTGTATGTGCAAATGAACAAATCTCATTTGCAATTAATGGCCCGCAATTGTGGGAGTATTTAGTAGTATAGTGTCCCATAGAAAATGTGGATTCTGAAAGTAAAGTAAAGGTTTTGTGACAAATCTGTTGGAGTATACTGATTTATGCTGAGCACTGTATATCAGAGCAGCTTTAAAAACAATGGCATTCATAACGAGATCCCGTGCTGCGATAGCCAATGTACAAGCAAACTGAGGGCACACAAATGGTCATATGGACATCTCTGATCATTGGCAGTAGAGGAAGGAGTCGACAAACCCTCACACCTCACAAACAAACTTTGTCAGAGCTGCTGGAGAGATTTTTTTATCTAATGAAACAAACCGTGTCAGAGCTGCTGGAGAGATTTTTAAATAATGAGTATTTTTTATGTATTTTTGTAAAATAAAGAATATAATTTTTTATACATGAATATACTGTATATGTGTGGTATTTCATTAAGCTGCATTAAAGTCCCAAAGGGATATTTTTTCTTGTATTTATAATGTTTTGGGGATAAGTAGCCAATACTTGAATTCTCTATACCATCTATGGCGATTGCACTGAACTCCATGCTACTGGTGTTTTTTGCCTTCCTGTGAATATTCTATGAAGATGTATGGAGAATGCAATTCAAGCAAGTAACCCAGAAAGTTTAGCTCACAAAGAAACATAGATGCTATCACAAGGCCACTTATAGGTTAGTGTTTTTCAGACCTGCCTTTAGATCCTCATGGATACTGGTAACTAAAAACAGGTAAAAAAAGAATTGTTGTGGGAGCCAAAACTTAGTGATCCTGGTGCTCACCTGTTATAAAGCTAGGTGTCACCACAGATTAAAGTGAACCAAAATAGAAAATGAGGAAATGTGGAAAGAGACACCTACTTAAATGCTATTTGTTACACATAAATATAAAAAAGTTTATTTATATTGAAAGATATACAAAATATATACCCAAAGAATTACCTACAAGAATTACTAAAGTATGGTATGATAACTGTAAGGACCATGTTGGCCATCAAAAAAATCTTCACATTCCTCCACACTCTCCCAAACAAGAAATATGCTAAAAACACATACCCATCACCATAAAATTCCCTCAAGTTGCGATGGAGAAAGATCTTGAGGTCAACAAATATTAATATCACAGACAGATATAAGGACCTGTCAACAAGTCTTATTCCATGCATGCAATAAGGCTCCTAATCAACTATGCCTTTTGACTCGAGGTCCGTAGTGGGACAATTTGGATAAAGTCCATTGAAAGTAAACAAAACTTTCTGCCTTTTGCAAAGAAATGTTGAGAGGCCTACACTTCACACAAATTGATTTTGCTGGGAAATACCGATGAGATCTCTTTGAATAATTTTACTATGTTATATTTTTATTGCAAGTCAAAGGTTTTATACCTGCGCCATAGATGGACAGGTAAAGGACCAGATGTGCCACTTGACGAGCCCAAAAGGAAAAGCTTAGATGCTTAAATTGCATATAAATCCTCAATTAAGTTCATATTGTTTTATTTATATGATGTGTAGCCTTATTGTCTAATGGGAATATACAGGAGGGACAGGACCAGTGATCAACACTATTGGGATGTGTCAAATATTGCAGATTACAGAAGCCTGATATTCAAGACTACTGGGCTACAGGAGAAAACAACAAAGCCATGTGCTGGCACTAATTGGTGTCTACATGGCAGCAATGGAGCAAATGTACCCTTGGAGTACTCAGAGTTTTGCTTTAATCAAAAGTTCTCATTTACAGGATTCTTCACTTTGATATGTCCTTCAGACTGTAACAAATTTTACTGGCTTCAATTAGTATTCTGCACACACATAAAGCCTGTACTTATAAAATGGCTTGCTAAAATCAATGTCATAAAAGAATAGTTTAATTTGTAAATGTATTGGAATTTGTCATTTTCAATTTACATACGTTTTGCTTTTATTACAAATATACACTGAACTCCTCAAATTGTTGCACAAATAGTTAGAAGTTCAATAAAACTTTGCACTAAGAGGCATATCTCTTGGGATATTGCCACAGTATAAAGGTAATGCAAATTGCACCTGCACAATACTAATGTGAAATGGCAAAAGGAGAGCATGTAAGTGAATTTACATTAATAACATATAGGCAAATTATATATGATATAACTTAAAGTCACAACATCATTGTATGTCTTGATAATATAGTTTTTGTATTTAAATCCTGAAAAATGTATTTTATGTACAGCTGTTTAAAGGAGAAGGGTACCTCTGCAATATATGTGTGTAATTCTAATTCACTGGAATTGCTAGTAAAAAAAATAGCTTTTAGTTAGCAAAACCTAATTATATCATATAGTTTAAAAATATTTTTTTTTCACAGTTGGTCTTGTCAATGCACTGATGGTAATATTTTTATTGCCTTTTTAATCCAATCTTAACATATTTTCATCTGTAAGAGAAAACAAAAACGTTTAGAACAGATAGCTGAATATGTGAAATTGATGAGAAACTCACACATATAATTCAATATGCTCATGATTTGCTTCTTGCCTCCCCTTCAAAGAAAGCTTTCATGACTTATAACCTATATATTTTACAGGAAGCTTGCAGTTATGTCAAACACAAGTGCATGCTCTGTTGTTTCCTAATGTATGGTGCATTTAGATAACTGAGCATATAGAGTGCAAAAGTAACCTAAAAAGTACCCCATCAGAAAGTAAACCCCAACTTCGCTTTTGTGGACTGAGTGTGCATTACAGGTTATGAGTACCTGATTAGTTACCACCGGGGGCGGACTGACCATTTAGAAACTTGGGCACTGCCCGAGGGCCCGGGGTCAGTAGGGGGCCCCATGAGATGCCCCTGGTACCCTTTTCATAGGCTTTTTTGAGTTTGGGCAAGGACACAGGGGCCCCATGATCCCCTATTGCCCGGAGGCTCCATGAGTTGACAGTCCGCTCCTGGTTACCACTGGCCTTTTTAATACAAACTATGACATACAATAGCCAGGATGTCTTCTTGACACGGTATGGAGCTTCACTGGTTTAGTTAACTCTTGCTTTTGTCCTGGTGTTTGTAGGGATGGACATCAGAAGCAGAAAAACAAACTCTGGTTGATTTTTTGTTGCATCTTCCTTTCAGATTGACTATATAGAGACATTGATGAGTAGCTTAAGTTAAGACATGTTGGTGTGTTCTGTGCTGTTATTTTTTAGTAGGGGTTTCTGTACTGAAGGAACTGATAAATACACCAGAAGCACAATTTAGGGAAACCAACCAAGACCACTTTGGCTAATCTCCTTTATCTAGTCCTTTTCTCAGCATGTGATTCATTTAATGGAATAGGAAAAATTTCATGAATTTTGCATGTGTATGGTATATTGAGGCCTATTCATGTACAAAGGCTAATAGCAACACAATAGTCAAGGCATGGCTTGAACTCATCTCTACATTCAGGTTAACTTTTTCAGATCTTTTAGCGTGCTTCATTTTGTCAGAGCTTCTATTTAAGTGATTTCTTGATTCAACAGGTCTGACAGTAATCAGGCTGGTGTGTGGCAAGTGAAATTTAAATCAGGTTTCCAAAAAATGTGGTTAACCAGTTAATTTATGATTTAACAAGGGGGGAAATTACTTTTTCACATAGGGCCAAGCAGGTTTGCACAGCTTTTTTCCTTTAATAAATTAAATCATGATTTAAAAGCTGCATTTTGTGTTTATTCAGGTTATCTTTGTGTAGTATTAAAATTTGTTTAATGATATGAATCCTTTAAGTGTGACAAATATGACAAATTAAATAAGGAAGGGGGCAAATACTTTTTCACAGCACTGTTCTTAATGCTTGAGCATCTTGAGCCTTGGATGTTAGTTTCATACGATACATCTCTGTCCTTTAGGATACTCCTAATCAGTTATACGTGATCTCACATTCCTAGGGACCATTCACACATCCCCAGACAAGTATTCCTAAAATGGTCGACAATATTTGTTATTTGTTTATTTTTACTGTATTAAATCTAATGACAATTTACAAGATTTTTCACCCGTTTCAAGGATTTATTTTTCATTTTTGAAAGTGTAATCTTTATTTTAAAGTTCTAGAAATTGTCAAATTGGCCAGAAATTATTTTATAAAAACATGTTTTTCAATCATAAAATCTCTAATTTTGGCAATTTATTTTTTCCTTGGCATGAATTTGCAGTTTTTTGTAAACTTCATGAAAAACTTAAATCAAATGAAATCACTATTTTCTTTTTTCCTAGTATGAATGTCTGTTTTCCAGATGCCACACTGAAACAAGAATTTTACATTGTGGCCTTTTCTACCTATGAAAATGGATGGTACATCCTGTTTGTTGGAGTGTTTCTAGTATTTTTAATGGCAATATGTGGAAACCTGCTAATCACTATTCTGATATGGCTTGTCCCTTATCTGCACACTCCTATGTATATTTTCCTCTGCAATCTATCAGTTCTGGATATTATTCATGTGTCTGCTATCTTGCCAAAGCTAATGTCTATTATGTTGAAAGGAGGCCACAATATTTCTTTTGTAGGCTGCTTTTCACAAATGTTTATGTTTATCTTTTGCCTGAATACAGACTTTTTACTTCTTACATCCATGGCTTATGATCGTTATGTGGCCATATGCATTCCTCTTCAGTATTCTGTCATTATGAACGTTCAGACATGTGTCCTGTTGGTTTCAGCTTGTTGGGTTATTGGTGTCCTAAATGCAGTAATGCACTCTTTTTTGATGTCACAGTTAACATTCTGCTATCATAAAACTATCAACCATTTCTTTTGTGATTTAAGGGCCATACTGAAACTGTCTTCAGATGATACAATGCATATAAAGACAATAGTATTTGCTGAAGGTGTGCTATTTGGTGTTATCCCATTTATCCTCATATTGACTTCTTACGTATGTATCATATCTTCTATCTGTAAGATCCACTCAACAGCAGGTAGACTGAAGACCTTCTCCAGCTGCTCCTCACACATTGTCACTGTAATCCTGTTCTGTGGAGCATCTCTAAGCCAGTACATGAAGCCAGAGACTGAGCAGTCTGAGGAACAGGACAAGTTGTTGTCCTTACTTTACATTGCTGTAGTGCCTATGTTAAACCCTTTAGTTTACAGTCTGAGAAACAAAGCTGTTTTACAAGCCATGAAAATCATCATTAAAATCAAAGTGTCTAACTTCCTATCTGGGGCTTTTGTAAGGTACTAGGGCATGTTGTTGACTATGTAAGGGTCTTAAAGTGTAAAGGCTTAGCTTTTTTTTCCCTTAAAATAATAAACAAGTTATACTTACCTGCTCTGTGCAATGGTGTTGCACAGAGCCACCCTGAACCTCCTCTTGCCTCCGCCTCTTCTGTGTCTGCCCCCATAGCAAGCTGTTTACAATGGGGCAGTTGTGTGGGCTCACTCCCAAGCCGGGATGTGTGTGTCCATAGACATACACAACCCAGCTCAGCCCTGCCTTATACTTCCCCCTTACAGGATTCGATTATTTGATTGACAGTAGCAGGACTCCATGGCTCTCCATTCCTTCTGTCATTTGTATGCAAGACAGTGCTGATCAATGAAAACAGCAGATTGTTTTGGCCAGGCAGAAACCATGGTTGGCCTGCAGGTATGTCTTTTGAAAGAATCTGAATTTCTCTAACATTCACCATTATTTTAACCCATTGGGCACCTTGAGCACCTTGACTGCACTGCAAACTTTATTAGAAATGTAGGCAAACCTTTCCATTTGATTCCATTTCTTTCCCTTGGCAGATAAGCATATATTCATTTTCACATTAAACTTCAGTTGTTTATAGCCAACTCCAATTAATCACAATGCTCTTGGATGTTTAAAAACTTTTTGAAGAATTCCACACATTTAGTTTTTGAATTCTGAGACACATATTTACTATGCCTTGCAAATATGCAATGTTTGTGCCACACATTTCTCAGAGCCTGCCATCTGAACTGCAGTCTGTATAGGAAATACACCACATCATATAGTATCTGCTGGTCAGCACTGATGTACCATGGGACATGTAGTCCTTCGAAATTGAAAGCAAACCAAAGGAATGAGCAGAGAACTGAGAAGCATGCAGGGACTCCAGGACACTGTTGAAAGAGATGACCAGCAGGCAGGATAACTGAGAATGAAAGAATTCTCAAGCTTATATTGTATTGTCAAAAATAACTATTGTTTGTATTGCTATTACAATGCTGATTTTATCAAATAAAAGTGTATCTAGGCTAGAGACAATGGAATCTTGACACCTTAATGCTAAAAATCATGGAGAAACTAGCCATAAGATTCTCAAGTGTTATTAGCTACTATTCATAGTTCAAACAGTTTAGACGCTAGTCCACAACAGCAACAGCAAGAAATCAATGTGGATGGATACCCACAGTGTCCACACAGGAAGGGCACAAGGAGTGGTGTGAGCAAAACTTGATCCGAAGTCCAGATGGTAGGCGCTTGGGGGTACTCCTATCAATAGCAATATCATGGTGTTGACTGCTAAAAGTTATACTCTCATACACAGATTTTCCCATTTGGCCATTATTTTCAAAGATGATTCACCTTATGTTTATTGTGGCAGCATACAACATATTAAAGAGATTGCAATATCAAAAAGTGAAAACTTAAGCAACATCTTTCATTAAATATAGTTTTTAGTGTAAGCTTTCAAGCTCTCTTTTTAGTATGATGCCATATGAATAACTGAAATATAACATACTTAAGTACATTAAACAGCAAAGAACGCATGTTAAATAAACTGTCAAAAAACAAGGAGATTTTGTTAAAACAGAAGTATGGGGTTTCTGCACAAAATTATACCCACCTTGGTGGTGGATGCAGCATCGATCCAATGCTGCATCTGTCCCCCCCAGTAAAACTGAGAAGACCACTGATCACTCAGTTCCTGGTCTTCAGTGAGCAGAGAGCCGCTAATTGTTAGTCACTGGCTCTCTGCTCTGCCGCTTCAGTGCTCACTGGAGCACTGGGCTGTGGAGGGGACAGGAACGCCTGTCTCAGGCTCCCACCGACTAGCAGAGGGTTTGAGCCAGCTGTCAGTCCAAGCATCTGGGAGGATCCCAACTTTAACCAGTTCAATACAGGACTTTTTCACCCCCTTCCTGCCCAGGTCAATTTTCCGATTTCTGCACTTTCACACTTTGAATGACAATTGCTCGGTCATGCAACACTGTACTCTGTACACTGAAATTTTTATCATTTTTTTAGACAAATAGAGCATTATTTGACAGTATTTAAACATCACTGGGTTTTTTTTTTATTTTTTGCTAAACAAATTAAAACAGCCTGAAATTGTGAGGAAAAAAAAACACCCTTTTTTCGTTTCTGTTGTATAATTTGCAAATAAGTAAATTTTCTTCTTCACTGATGTGCGCTGATGAGGCTGCACTGATGGGCACTCATAGGCTGTACTGATGGGTACTGATAGGCTGCATTAATGGGCACTGATAAGCTGCATTGATGGGCACTGATGAGGCTGCGCTGATGGGTACTAAAGAGACTGCACTGATGAGGCTGGACTGATGGGCACTGATGGACACTGAGCTATGCATGAGTATGAGCGGCGTGACTGGGAGGACATCATATGATGTCCACCTGGGGTGACAAAAGGCCCACCCTGCTATCAATCTGCTATTGGCTGGGCAGGTACCAGTAAAAGTCAGGGTGGATCCAGAGCCTAGACCAGCTGAGTGGAGTCAGTCGACAGGGAACTTTAGCCCACTGTCAGCTGAAAATGAATCACAGGAATGCAGGCCATACCGTAAAACAGAACAAGGAACATATTTACAAATTAGTCCAGGCAATAAAGCAGAGGTGTAAAATACACAACATTTGGCCATGGCCCTTTGCAATGTCTTGCCATCTTTACCTGTGATCTGTCAAAGAACAGAATTATGAGCACCCACACTGATAATTCTGTTAATGTCCTAGTGACACAGTAGTGCTACTAAGCTTTTAGGGTTACTTACTTAAGCCAAATATACTCTTCATTTTGCAAGGGAATTTTAGGTTTGCAAGGGAATTTTCCCTTAGCTTAGTGACTACGGTTAAGCTCTGCTGACTTCCGTAATCCAATCACATGCAAGAAAAAAAAGGTTTTTTATTTTCCTTGCATATGAGTGGGTATTCTTTGCAAACTTAAATTTCACCACATTCACTTGTGAAGTAAAAATTACCTTGCAAAAGGGAAAATTCCCTTGCAAATCGAACTATCTATTTGCTTTTAGTAAATCAAATCAATTGTCTTTATTTAGGCAAATATACAATGCATTATATGTTTATATTAATTTATGTTCCAATTGTTTCCTCTTTCTCTTAAATTAACCATCAAAACAGAGACCCTAAGATGCATGTCACCTTTCGTAACATGTTACTTGTTATACCCATATTCAGGGTTATGATCGGACCAGCCCCCGCACCCTCCTCCCTGATTCCCGTTGCGACAGCTAGTGGGGGATCTTCTCCTCTCCCCTAGCTCTCACAATTTAAAAAAAAAAAAATACGGCCAAGTGGAACTTCACCTGCCCAGCCATGTCACTATTCTGTGAATGGGAAAACTATAAGTTCTGACAGCCTTTGCAGCTGACAGCTTTATTTCTCAATGAACTACCAGGGCACTCTACAGCGCCATTGTAGTTCATTGAACCTTCCTGTCAGTAAGTATCTGCTTGCCCATAGGGGATGTACAAGCAAGCAGATATACTCACAAGTCAGGAGAAGACCTGCATGGCACCAGTAACATGTAATCAGATACATAATCAGATACAGGACACTGGAGGAACTGCAGGAAAGTTGCTGGATTCTATGAACCTGCAGGAGTTGTGATACAAGCACATGGCCAGTGGTGTATATGTGTCTATTTGCAAGCAAAGAAATGTGCCACAGTTTTGATTTTGGAATCCAGAGTTCCGACTTTGAAATTTTGTGTTCCAACATTGGAACTCCATATTCCAACTTTGGAACTCCGAGTTCTGACTTTGGAACACCGAGTTCTGACTTTGGAACTTCAAGTTCCTACTTGAACTCCGTGTTCCAACTTTAGAACCCCAAGTTCTGATTTTGGAACTCAGAGTTCATACTTTGGAACTCCATGTTCTGACTTTTGAAACACTGAGTTCCTACTTTGGATCCCTGAGTTCTGACTTTGGAACCCTGAGTTTTGATGTGGCACCCGAGTTTCAACTTTGGAAATTTTCATTTCCAACTTTGGAATTCTGATTTCCAAATTTGGAACCCTGAGTTCAGATATTGGAACCCTGAGGTCTGACTTTGGAACACCAAGTTCTGACTTTGGAAATCTGAGTTTTGACTTTGGAACCCCAGGTTCCAACTTTGGAACTCAGTGTTTTGACTTTGAAACACCGAGTTCTGACTTTAAAACACCAAGTTCCATATTTGGAACTCCGATTTCCAATGTTAGAATTCTGGAGTTTCCAACTTTGACACTCTGTGATCTGACTTTGGAACACCTTGTTCTGACTTTGGAACACCAAGGTCTGACTTTGGAACTCCGAGTTCCGATGTTAGAACTCCGAGTTATGATTTGAACACCGAGTTCTGACTTTAGAAATCCTTGTTCCAACTTGTGTAATCCAGTTTCTGACTTTGGAACCCCGAGTTCTTACATTGGAATCTTGAGTTCTGACTTTGGAAGTCCAAGTTCCAATGTTGGAATTCCAAGTTCCCACTTTCAAACCTTGAGTTCTGACTTTGGAACTTAATGTTACGACTTTGAAACCCCAAGTTCTGACTTTGGAACACTGAGTTCTGATTTTGGAAATCTGAGTTCCGACTTTGGAACACTGGTTCTGACTCTGCATCTCCGTGTTTCGACTTAAGAACCCAGAGTTTCAACTTTAGAAACTCAAGTTCCAACTTTTGAATCTTGAGTTCTGACTTTGGAATCTCGAGTTCCAACTTTGGAATCCAGAGTTCCAACTTTGAAATTTTGCATTCCAACTTTAGAACTCCTAGTTCTGACATTGGAACTTCAAGTTTTATATTCTGACTTTGGAACTCTGAGGTCTGAATTTGAAACCCTGAGTTCCAAATCTGGAACCCTGAGTCCTGACAGTAGAACTCTGTGTTCCAACTTTGGAACACCGAGTTCTGACTTTGGAACTCGGATTTCAAACTTTGGAATCCCATGTTCCGACTTTGGAACACTGAGTTTTGACTTTGGAATTCTG